CCCCGCTCCCCATTGTTCTCGGCGGCGGCGGCGGCGCTGGCGCTGCCGCCCGCGCTGGTGTTACAGTCCCCGCTGCCAGGCATTCTCGCCATATTGCCGTCTCTCTGCCAGTCCTCAGGCAGGGCGCATGCGCTATATTGGACCGCAGCGCTGAGAGCTTTTGTGTTTAATGACCTTCAGCTACCGGGAGGCAAAGCCGGGCTCTTAAAGGAGCCGCGCTCCAATTGTCAGTTCGGAGCGCTGCTCCGGAGGGGCAGCGGCGCGCAGGGGATAGAGGGGTAGGGAGGCGGGGGTAAGTTAGATCGGGAGAGCTTAAGGACCGAGGCTGGATGGACCCTCTTCCTCCTCCACCCCTCTCCCCACTCCGAAGAAAACTTTGAAGGGGGAAAAAAAAAGAAAGGGGAGGGAGAGCTGTCGGTAGGGGTGAAACACTCCCAACTTACCCTCTGGCAGAGTGGCGCGCGGGCCCGGGCGGGAGAGAGGGAGGGCCGGCGGGAGGGCGGGGCGGTCTCGCTTCTCTAAGTAATGCCCGAGGAGCAGTGCCCCTTCCACCGCCCCTTCATTGCCCCCCGAAGCCGGGGGTTCGGGGAGGCGGCTGCGCCGGGCGGGCCGCGGATGCTGCTTCGAGAAGCCGGTGTCTGGGGCCGCCCGGAGCGGAGCGGAGCAGGCAGGTTAATGAGCAGGGTGGAGGAGGCACGGCGAGGCCCCGCACCCTCTCTGCGCCCGCGGCCAGGGCGCAGCGGGCGAGGCTTGGGAGCGGGATGGGGCTGGCGGCGGCGGCGGCTCCCCCACCTACTTGCTGGGGGCGAGGCACGGGGGCCTGGGGCCAGCCGCAAGGCTCCCAGCTCCCTTTCCGACTCTTGCAAAGTAGCGAAACACGCCCCACGTCAGCCTCATCCCTTTCGACTTTTCCAACAGCCACTTTTAAGCTGTCATTAAAGACCTGGGGCGCTCCCCGTAGGTCTGGGGCAAGTCCGCGCCGGTCCAGCCAGCCTGGGGAAGGAGCAAGGAAGAAACACTGGGAGGGGCGTGTGGGAGGGGAGACGCGGGGAGAGGCACTCGGGACCCTAGGGACCCCTCCCCACCTGCCCAGGCCACCGCCCTCCTGCCTCAGAGTAAACTGACACAACTCCCTCCGGCGAGGCGCTCCACTTGGTTGGCGCTAGAGTTATGTGGGTCCCTAAGACCCGTCGGGCGGACGGGACGAGAAAGTGAACTTGGGTCTCGGCCGCCCCCGCCGCCGCCACAATTCCGGCAGTTCGGATCCTGAGCGCTCTCTCGTTCCAAGTTTGCCAACCGCCATTCGTTCGCCCTCAGGGCTGCGCTGCCTTCGGCGCGCGGGGGCGGGCACCTCCGAAACTGGAAAGGCGGCCAAAGAGCTCGCCGGGTCCCGCTTTCCCATCGGAGACACTGTCCCACTTCCAGCTAAACGCCCGCCCCCGGCGCGCCCAGGCTCCCGGCACGTCCTCGCGTCACCGCCCCCAGGTCTCCTGGCCCCGGGGCAGCGCCCCCAGAGCCGCAGGAGACCTCAGCTGATTTATTTGGAGGCACAATCCCAGCCACCTCCGGAGCTCGCACTGCATTCTAACTTTCTCCTCCTCGGGCAGCCCGAGTGTCCCCCTGGCGCGCCAGCCAACTCCAAATCCCAGGGACGAGGGGAACCCGCGGAGTCGGGTACCAGCAACGCGCCCCCGGCCCTGGCCGGCCCAACTGTGAGGCAGCCTCGCCAGCTACTCGAATGGGTCCTCGGATTGGTCTCCGAGTCCGAATTCTCAGCATTTCAGCAGTGAGAATCTTGTCAAATGTCATTTCTCTCCCACTCCCCTCCTGGGCCTTCTGTCTTGCTTTGAGGGCAGTTTATAATGTTGCACATCAAAAGTAACTCATCTGCCAATTTGTAATTAAAACAAAAAAAGAAGGAAGACTAGGTCTCAGGGCCGTGTTGGCGTCTAAGTGGGAGATGACAGTGTCTCTTCCAGCTATCAGTCCTCGCCCTCCAAGTGCCTCCTCGGCCCTGGACGCCGAAGAGCTTTGGGGAAACGGCGCCAGGTGTGAACAAGTTAGAGCAAGTCCCTGCCTCGCGGGCCCCCTCCTGCTCCTCCGGGAAACACACACACACACACACACACACACACATACACACATACACACGCACACGCACACGCACACGCTCTCATCCGCCCTGCCCTCCGAAAAGAACCTTCTCAGGAGGCAAGGAATTTGGCGGTGGCACTCCTCGGAAATAGTCCCAGAGATGCGGTCGGCTTTGTTCAAAATGCATTGCCCCCCGGAAATGTGTAGAAAGGAACCCAGGGCAGTAGGCAGCTAAATTAGTTGTATACGCGGACCCGCGCACACGACCTGACACACACCAGTCGCACCGGCTACTTCCGGAGGGCTGGCCCTTTGTTCTAGGATGCTCCTAGGATTTCGGGCCGCCAGAAGGCTCCGGCGGGGAATTTCAGCGGTGCTGAGAATTCAGATGGGCGCCCGGCAAGTTACCTGCCAGGGGCTGCTCCCCAGCGGCCCTCACCGCGAACGCGGTGAACCGACGGGCCGCGTTGGCCCCGGACTGCGCTCCCGGCTGGGCCTGGGTACTCGTCCCCACGCTCCGGTCCAAAAACGGACACGCCCCCCAGGGCTCCCCACTTCTGCGGGCGGCGAGGGTCCCCCCGGATTCCCCCCTCCTTGGCTCCCCTCCCTGCTGGGCGAGCTGCTTTGAATTGCTCGCAATTTGCCGAAGGCGGTGTGCTGGGTTGGACGCTCCGGGAAACAAAGCAACCAAAAACAGCTCCCAGTTGACGTCAACTTACTTCCAGAAAAGAAAATAGTTCTGTGCTCCCAGGACAAAATCCCCCCCAGGGCAGGTCTCTACTGGCAAAAGCCAGGCGGCGGGGTGGAGAATAGCAGAACCAAAAAGCCCCAAGCACAAATAACTTTTTAACGGACTTGGAAAAACAGCAGCTTCAGATGCTGCCTGGATAGTCTTCAAACAACGGGCAGGACCCCGGCTAACATTAGAAATGAAAAAACGCACCTTACAAAGTACGCCTCGGCCTGATTATTGGGCGACTGTGAATCAGCTTCGTGGCACCAGCTCCTGAAACGCTACCAAAATTCTTTGTCCATGATACTTCATCAAATATTGGAAAAGACCTCTTCAGGTTAGTACCCACGGCATTTACCAGGAAGAACACCCAGAAAAACCAGGCAGTTATAAACCTGTCCCCACCTCGCCCCCCCACCCCCATAAATGTTGCTTAATTTTTAAAACCCAATAACACAGAATTACAGCTGAGTTCATAAAGGAGTTCAATTCCAGCTTTAATAAATGATTCCTTAAAAACATCCTGTGGTTCCGCACACTCAATTCCAAATTGAGGGAATCAAAAAAGCTTTCTTACTATTTTGGTAGAGAGGCAATATTGGTTATCTTCTGCCTATCAGCCCAGCCCTGATTTCACCACTTTGATTTTGCCCTTTCATGATGTCCATCTAGCTAGCTCACCACTTGAAACTGACAACTGCCCCTCAATCCTTCCTAAGGACAGTTATTTCCTGTGCAGAATAGCTTCTGCATGTGTAAAACACACAGCTTCTTTATATAAAAACGATTCCAGTACTGTACAGAACATTTACTGCAATTATTTAACTGTCAGAACTCTTTACTATAAGCTATCCTAAGAGGTTTACAACTTCAACAAGATGCGCCACATTTTTGTCTCTTTCATTATCATTACAAAGTACCATCTATATATTTGTGCTTCTCCACTTCTTAGATTAGTTGAAAGCAGTGGCGTGGTTATTTTGGAAGGAAAACCTCCAAATGTTCACTCCTCATTTTATAGCCCACTTACTTACTCCCAACCAGTTCACACTGTAAGAAAGATTACTCCATAAACAAACATACTCAGCTCTTCCTTCTCTTTGCTTGAAGTCTTCTGACCTCATCTGTTATATAATTGATGTAGCTGCTTTTTATCTGTTTCTTCTCCTAAACATATATACCTTTGTAGTTTATGCTGGTGCCTGGGACACAGAGAATGCTCCAGTTGTTTACCTTTAGTGAATGAATGAATAGGATCTGTATTTAGTTAACCCTTATATTTAGGAAGAAACATTTTGGAGAAAAATTTGAATATCATGGATCTGAATTTCTATATTAAAAATCAGGACAAAAAATAACTACAAGGCAACATTACTATTTGCAATAATGTTTACAAGTCAAAATGAATGTAATCACTGCTTTAGTTTAACATTTCCCTGCCATTAATTCACTCTCCAGCGGAACACATTATAGGAAGTTACTGCAGGAGTGAGGGACAGGAACTGGAGGGATCTAAGTATTAAGGGAAGTGAGTTGGGGAGAATTTAAATGGATAAATTTAAGAAATATTGTGGACTTTTTGGGAGCAAGGGCCAGAAAAAGCATTTAGTTCTTCATCTAAGACACTTTTTAGTTCATCACTATTTTGAGTTCATCACTTTTAAGTCATACTTTCCTGATCTGATTACTAAAAGATGCACAAAGTACTTTGGAGGTTAAATACGAATTCAAACTGAAGCTATTTTGACATATCTTTGTTTCAGAGTTTTACTACTACATTCTGTTGAATTTAACTGAAGATCATCTTGAGTCCTGTTTTTTGGAACTCAGATGAAAACAGAATCCATGTAATCTAACTCTACGAGGTGGAAGAAAAGAAAACTCTGTAGGAACAGAAACTGCATCTTATTTATTACTGCATCTGTGGTTCATTTCTAATACTGTTCCTTAGCATATCTTAACAGAGTGGCTGGGACATAGTAGACACTCAATGCGCATACAAAGATGCATGTGTAGGGAGAAAGCTAACCGCCACAAAAGGTCATCGAGCAGAGTGGTTTAAAAATTGCATCTTTGGGTTTGAATCCTAATTTGGCCTTACTGGCCACCTTTATTATTTTATTATCTGGATGATAATATTAATAGCCCCTACCACATAAGATTATAGTGAGAATTAAATGGGTTAATATGAGTAAAGAACATGATACAGTGTCTGGTACATCAGTAAATATTCAACTGTTAGCTCTTAGTTATTAAGGCTCTGATATTTTCCAGCCTTGATTATAATAGGAAAATCAAGGCCAGAGAGGCTCACGAAGGTTAAGCCACTTGCCCAAGGTCTCCTGGGCCTCCATAGGGCAGAAAAGTGTGGCTTTGTACCCCATGCTTAAGCAGCTTGCCACATTCAGCTTCTAGGAACCAAAAAATGAAAAAAATAACAATCAAGATCTTCAAGGAAACAGTTTCCTACCATTAAAACACTTCTGCGTGTTATTTGATTGGGAGTCTTGGAAAGCCAGAGTAGAAGTAAGCCAAAGCCTAGGACTGTGAGCACAGCAGAAAAAGCCCAGGGAACTGTCACCTTTATCACTTGGCACCTAAAACACTGGCACTGTTTTCCTGGGCAGTACAGACCCATTTGTGTCTTAGAAGAAATGACAATGAAGAGGCAAAAGGAATGCCCATACACACAACCACATCAGTTAGGGGTTTTCTATTGAAACCCTGGGCTGGCCTGCATAACTCTCCCGGGGCAAAGAGGGCTTTACCTGTTTTTATCTTTGATGTTTTGTTAAAAAACAAGTCAGAGTGAATTTACCACAGTGATTGGCAGGTGTAGAATTTTTAGTTTCTAATTGCCACCTGTTAACTATAATTCTTGATCTTTCCACCTAATAATCATCTCCCAGTTTCTTAGCCTGTTTTTAAAACAGGTAATGTATGAGGGAAGTGTAGCTTTCCATAAGAAAATCGTGGGTTTTTTTGTAGAGCTTAAGAGTGTGCTATTTCTCTTTGGTATAATGTTCTGAAAATGAAACTTCTCTTGGCTAATAAAGAAATCAAATGTAAAGGCTGTCAAAGTTAAATCAAACAAAATTAATAATGATAGTCATTTCTTTATCTTCT